TGGATTTGGGTATAAAACTGTAGCAACTTGGTTGTATTCTCCAGTCTTCGAATTCACTTCTCTTTTCAACTTTGTTTTGGGGTGATTGTCACAATCTGGGGTTGATGTCACATTGCAACATGCCAGATGTAGGATAAATGGGGGGAGTCACCAAGAAGGATATAGAGGGCTTTGATCCACTTTCTATGAGTACAGCAGTCATGTTCATGAGTTCAACAGTGTGGAGAAGAGACACAACTGGAAAGTGAGAAGCTATTATCTAGAAACCAATGCTCTTCTCAAGGAAGAGGTTGTTACTGGTAGGCCTATGGACTTACTGAAAGATTCAAGTTGATTGGCCTGATTACCTTCCCGCACTGCAGGGGGACTTATTTTTTTCCGTGGAAAATGCATGACAATCTAGAAGTCCAATTTTCACTGTTCTGTTTTCAGACAAAATATATATATTGAAAATAGATGTTGATTTACAGCTCCAATTTTTACCATGAATAGACATCTATTCCCCTGAAAACACACTGAAAATAGAAACAAAAAAAGATGATCTTTTTCCATTATTGGAAGAACCTCTTTTTAGTAAAAAAGATCCTCTTTTTTTGTTTCTATTTTCAGTGAAAATGACATCTATTCCCAGTGAGAATCAATTAAAAAAAGATGATCTATTACAGTGCTGTTTTAAGGAGGAATAGATGTCTATTCATGGTAAAAATGAGCTGTAAATCGACATCTATTTTGATATATATATATGTCTGAAAACAGAACAGTGAAAATCAGACTTCTAGATTGTCACACGTTTTCCACGGGAGAAAAATAAGTCCTCCGCAGTGCCAACAGCTCTTGCAGCGCAAAGTTTCGGTACAGTGGTGTGAGGTTAAGAACCAGGGCTTGGTCGGTATCTTCCGAAGCACAGCTTTCTGTCATCCTAGAGCTTCGACGATCGCACCACGTCAAGATCGGCTTATCGATCATTTGATTCCGTCCTCGACAACACAGACATGAGCGAGTGAAACAAGAGAGAAATTCAAAATCCATTATGTAGTTATACGACGCAAAGTCTGTGGTGCGCTCGGAGGCATTCAGACACGGCTCATGCCGCCGCGCTTTGGCCAAGTCCAGTATCAATGTAATGGTGCTGACATAAACAATGGTACTCCGACAACGCAACGTTTCCTTGTTCTTGTTCTTCCCATGACTCGTGTGATCAACAAGCTGTCGGACTAAACCCATGCGAGCACAAGAGCGGTGCAGCACACATCCGTCTATCACATGGACCCACGGAGGGTTGGCCGTTCTTGTCTCGCTCCTCCACCGCGGTGACCGCACACCACCAGTGTCCGCCACCTATCGCTCGCCCTCCGTATCCCGCATCCTGACATCACGACCTTGGACTCCGACCGCTTCTGCTGGGACTCTTCCTGCCTCTTCCTGCCTAGAGACGGGGTGTCATGGCCACCGCTGAAGTTCTGATACGACCGTGCGTATCTTTCCCGCTAACCAGCATCGCATCCTGTTGTGTCTCCGCTCTCTCGTTGATTGAATATGGTCGCAGAACTGCACGCGCCGCGCCCCTATACCACTCTACCGAACGTAACCCTTTCGTTGGCACCGAGACCAGCACTACCATCGCTCCTCCAGCCGCCCAACCGCGGGGCGAGAACGATGTGTTTGACGGATTCTCAGACATGTTAGAACGCTTCGGTGGATTCAGCTGCGACGAGCCTCAGTTGTATGCGTTGAAGAAGAAGAACGCCGACTATAAGCGTGACTATCCCCAGGAAGCAGGGTGAGTGTCCATCTCCGCCTGATGTGCTAGAGCGTCGCTGCGTGCTCAATGACGTCGGGCAGATCTTCCTCCCGGATTGCGTGTAACATCACTCTCAATGGTCCGCGTGGCGGCTCTCCGCCGGCCTACCCTGCCCTGTCGACCGGTGCCGCTGGCCAGGACGAGGACGATGAGGACAGCGGCGATTGCGAAGAGGAGGATGGAGAGGAAGAGGATGAGGATGAAGTCGAAATCATCATTCATACCAATGATGGTGATCAGAGATCGCATTTGCCCCAGATATCGGGGAGCACCTTAATCAGCAACACCGACATCACAGCACAGGCTCTGCGTATAAGCCCAGCCCAGTATGGGAGTACATATCCTGGAGGCAAAGGCAAACCAAAGGCCGTCAATTACTACGACCAACCCGTGTACGCGGCTTGTTCACTTGAAATCTCTTGTTGACATCTCCGTCCAGCTCCCACCCTTTCCAACCCTCTGCTGTCGAGAATGAAGAAGACAGTGGTGACCAGTCTGAAGGTACATTTCTCCGTATCTCATGTCACTGATTCACATCTGATAAGCGTTCCTGGACAGTTGCAACAGAACCGAAGCATCCGGTTGAGAAAGATCGAGAGCAGAACTTTCCAAAGCCCCCAGAACGCTGGATAGACGAGGACTACGACGGGGAAAATGACATGGACGAAGACACGACTCCTGACGCGCAGAAGCCCGTGTCGATTCTGGAGCGGCCGGTCGACCCTGGTCAAGGCGGCCAATCACTTCCATTCGCCTCGAAGATGCACGAAGGGTTACCCAATGCGGCACAACCGAGCCAACCCTCCGCCGTGTTTCAGGATTCTGCCAAGCCGCCAGCCAGCCAGATGTTAGATTCAAAAACGGTCCTTGAATCGCCACCCGTCTTTGGAAGTTTGGCTGCCTTCTCAGGCGGACGTGTGCCGCAAGAGGAGGACGAGGCGCTGGCTGATGCCTTCTTGGCTGAGATTCACGCTATTTTGGACCAGCAATCCTGTTCGGAGACCATTATGAATTCGGCTGCTTGCATGCCACAAACTTCTGGCTCGATCGTGGAATCAGCACCTCAGCCGTTGGGTCTTGGAATGCAAGCTCTTGAATCAGCACCTCGGTCGTTGGGTCCAGCATCGCTACAGCTTATCGGTCCAGAACCTCAACCCTTCGCCGCTGCAGTCGGCAAGCTCGGTCCCCTGCCTCAATCTCAAGTGCCACAGCCGAGCGACGAGATATGCTATGACACGCTTGCTGTCTCCTCTCAGCATGAGGATATGTCGCCCATAGCGAATCAGTTTAGGCCAGTGGTGCACATCTACAATCCCGCTGGACCGAGCACGGATCCCTTTCTCAACCCGCCAGAAGAACTCGATGGGAATTTCTTACCTACACCTTTGCAGCCGAGTCTCAAACTCGATGCGCCTGTCCTTAATCATCCATTTGTCATCCCGCTAGAAGGTGTGAGGACCGGTCCGTTCACGATTCTATCCCAAGACCATGATCCGTGGAATCCCCCTGGTCTCTGGAATCAATCGCTGGCTGCGTCCAATCCTCTCGTGGAGAAACAGGAGCATATGGCGCTGCAACCTCCACAGGAACTATTCCAGCAGCCTCAGCAGCTGTCAGAGCAGCAGCAATTCGAGCAGTACCGCTCTCATCATCGACCCACTTTTCTGGAACCAGCACCGATCTCACACTCATCGTTGACGATCTTCGCTCTGCTAGACGCCGAGGTCAAGTGGTCCCACTCGCGGCCAGTTTCTCTGGGCAAGCGGCCGTACTCGATAGTCCCAGCAGCCGTGTCCGAATACGAATGGAGACGGGAGGCTCTGCGGCAGAGCCAGGTGTCTTTGGTGTCTGAAGAGCCGGCTCCGAAGAAACGGTGTCTTGCGACGTTCATTCCGAAGGCTTCCGCTCGTCCGGTCGGAAGGAGAGCAAGGAAGTCCAAGACGGAAATAAAGATCGCCTGCCGTGAGCAGCGAGAGTTGTCGCCAGCTCCGAGTTTCTCCTCCCGGTCGACTGTCTATAGCAGTAGCACCACTGCATCTTCAATGGGAGATTGCAAGGTGGCCCATGCCGACGAAACAGTCAGCCCGTGTGTTCACGTATCACCACCTTATTCGGCATTGCGCCGACTTGCTCCTCCGCCAACCTCGGCGAGCAGACTGCACAATCTGCGCCGGCCTGAGAGACAGCAGCAGTCTAACGATTTGCTGACATCTACGTTGAAATCTGTTTCGTCCTGGTGGTCGCGTTGAAACAAGTTACTTATTGAGGGTGTATGTATTGCTATCAATCTTGATACAATTCTGTTACTTATATGTTTTTGTCGAAATAGATCATATACCAGCGCGATTTCAATGAGAAGCAGCCACGGGCTGACAGGCATCTGTCGATTCTCGAGTAGTCGAGATCAAACCAACTCGCAGCAACGGAGCTCCAGTAATGCGACGATGAGAATTCCCGACGTCACAAGAGATCGGCGGAGCCATGGAAGAAGACTATTACTTTCGTAACCTCCAGCCAGCGCCACGCGTTTCGGGCAGGTTCGTTGTCGAGGATCGTGTCAGATCTAGAGGGGAATGCTTGGGCCGTTGGCCATGTGGAGTGACGAAATAATTTGCTGCCGGTCAAGAAGAAGCTGTCGAGGTCAAACATGGATTCTCAAGTGTTATCTACTGGAACCGAACCATGCCTAACATGTGATCTGAGACCCTGCAGATCGAGTCGAGTGACCCACTTATCTCTGCGGCCCGAATATACTTCCGTTAGCTCGTCTTTGTGGTTTGATCGTTTCTGCTCGTGAATAGACCTTTTCACAATGGGCACGTAGTTTATGGTTCAGGGCTCTTCCGCCCTTAAACACGACCAAACGCAATCCAGTCATTGGCAAGTCGTTTCGGAATCGTTTCCTTCCAGCTGCGAGGCTGCAGAGGACAATCAGAGATTTTCGTTATCTGTGCGGCGAGTGTTACAGCGTGAAGCTGGAGTCGTTGAGGCTGTTTATGTGGGATGGCTGAAACAGAACGTTTGACTGCAACGCCATTCCTCAAACACATATTTGCCACAGATCGGTCATGCTCGGGTCGTTTGATTGCAAGATGAACACAATCTTACAGTTCTATCGACCTTGCTTGGAAATGGTATTCGATCACGTGGCGATCCGATTATGAGGATCGACTGACTACTTACTACTAACATCTCTTGACGCTTCAAGCAAGTACGCTGGATTGCCGCACAATACGCTTGCCGTCGGTCTTTGTGTGCTGCTGCAGTCGAAGCTAAGCCACGCCATATTCCCTGCATCATTCGGATGTCGGGCAAATCTTATCACAACACGTCCAGGGAGGATGTAACTCTGAATCGAGACTGGGCGCGAGGGAAGAGTGGGATCTAGTGGGATGGTGTGTAGCATCAGTCATTCCGGCTCTTATTGTGCGCTGCAGCCTAAAATCTGGCATGCGTTACATACATCATGTCCCTGCGTGGCATGTGAGTCTCAGCTTCATGTTCGTGCGTCGCGCAGCTCAAAGTGCCATAGGCTGCAAGTGGGAAGACCCCAGTCTTCCTTCGCCCTTGTACACCCTTGGGTGGTCTCGGGAGATAAGTACGCGAGCTGTCCTCCCGTGCACGGGCTACACGAGCATTGGACAGCAGAGATGACATTTGGCCGTGAACATCAGCCTGTCAAGTGTGCTCGCTGTTTTAATGGCGGCGCTGTCATTGGGCATTTTAACTTTGCCCCATCTGAGGCCCGCGCTCCGTAGGTGGGCTGCACACTGAGGGTCTTGAGCCATGATCGCAGTGGTCCGCGTCCAGTTCGCAGCATGATATAGTTATAGCGTCATCGGGTCGGCCCCGGGTCCCCGACCAATGATGGACTGGATGACAACATGCTGTGCCTGGCACATCACGAGTCTCTTCCCTCCCGATGATCCACTTGAAATGTACATTCCGATAGCCCTAGGCTCCGGCCCTAGCAAGCCTAGCGCGTCCACGATCTAGCGGAAACGGCTGGAACGACCCCTCTTACGGAAGAAATGAAAGCCACATGACCATACCATATCCCACGACGGGCCCCCATCACCGTTTGAGACTCTCGAACAGTGTCTGGCATGATCCATCCGCCGCCAAGACTCCCGCTTAGCCAGGGTATTTAATTCCGGAGGCGCGCCCACTATCCGTCGTCTCAGCAGCCATGCACTTTCCCCTCAGTGTCGTCTTTGCTGTCTCTGCGGCCTTGGTGTCCAGTGTATCAGGAGCTGCGGCCCCGCCTCCCGACAACATCGTCTATGTCACCGACCTGAACAAGTTCTGGTGAGCCCTTGTTTCTTTCGCGTGCTATATCGCTCCATCGGACTCACATGCCCGCTCTGAAGCTTGATGATGCCCCGGGACCCGCACACCAACATCGGGGACAGCGAGCATCCAGGCGGGATGAAGACCTACTGCTCGCCTGCCGGACGGTATTCATCCATCCAGGGGCAGCTTCCGGGCGCCTTCTGGAGCAACGTCGAGCTGAAGAACGGAAACGGCGTCCACGGCGGGAAGTATGTCCAAAGTCAGTGCGCTCCAGGATCACCGGGGTAGCAGTGATTGAATCTATATCAAGTGACGGGGTGCATCCGCCCTGAGCTGCTCAGCCGATTGAACCCGGGCGATTCCGGAGGACAGTACGACTCCAGTGGCGGCGCTGGCGGGCGCGGCAATCCGCAAGACTCGGTTTGCTTGGGGTCAGTGCTGGCGATGATCGTCTCACATCTGAGGCCGATTCACTGATATATGTTCCAGCTACAATCATTACGTTGAGCTCGTCGAACCTGCCGGCCCACGTGCTTGCATCCGGTGCTGCAACGATGCTGCAGACTGCCCAACAAACAAAGGTAGGGCGCTTGAAGCATCGCAAGTTCTGGGCTCACGACCATCCTTCAGACACTCAAGGTTGTCCTAACGTCATCCCCGGCAACTACTTCAACTGCGGTTAAGTTGGCCATCTTATATGAATGAACGAACACTGTACATAGTGTCACGGACATCTACTCTCAATGAAATGTTAACGTTTACTGTGTTGGACAATAATAGTATCTGGCATTCATGACACTCGACTTCTTCACGTCCGAACTGACCAGGAAACGCGCTCTTCGACTCGCAGAAGATGCTGCATCTTCGGCATAGCGGCTCGAAGATCCACCTCCTGGATGCTCCGTGCGGCTCCGACCGCAGATTCAAGATAGACACGCAGAATGGAAAGTCCGCCGGCAACGGCAGCCAGTTCTCTGTCCAGCTGAGCCCAGATCTCGGGTAGCTGGGGGATATCCCACTGTGCGATAGAGAGCTGCCGGACGAGTCGGATGCCAGGGCCAAGGAACGGGAGGATGTACCACAGGGCTTCGGGACGTCGCAAGAACAGATTGACGCGTCTTAGCTTGTGAGATGGGTGCAATAGGATGGATAGATTGCTAGAATAGAATTCGGGGCGTGCTGCGGCGAGTGAGGGGGCGTCTCATCTATTGGGAGAGACAGAGTCCAGGACGAGACTCACAGAGTTCCAAGGCAACATGAAGTGTCAACTCTCGCAGGGTCCCGACATTTCGGCGGAATAGGTCTTCGTGCTGGCGATCCACTGACAGGGCGTGCAGGCAGGTCATGTCCACCTTGTGCAACGCCTGCAGCATGGCATCCACCGTATCCTCGGGGATAGCGTACAGTTCGAGGGTCTTGAGAGTAACCAGAGCCCCGCGTTTCGTCGCTAATCGATACCCGGTGTGTTGGTCAAAATCGACAGTCTCAAGAAGCAGCTCTCTGAGGACGGGAAACGAGCCGATGATGGTGTCGAATTCAACAAAGTCCGCAAAGGTATGAACGCGAAGCTCCAGGCGACGCAGACGATTGACAAAAGCTAGGGTGCCAAAGGAATCTTCCATCGACAAGATCGCCTCAGCGTAGTTGTAGACAGAGGCTGAGCACAGATTGACCAAGCACTTGAGGATCTTGACCATCCGAGGATCTTCCAAAAGATCGACCGGCAGAATGAGGTGCTTCACATAGCGTGCTAGGTGTGGGGACATTTTCAGTAGTCTGTAGAATCGGTGAAGACGACCTCTTCCGGTGTCCAGTTTCGCGCATAGATCCACCAGAAAGAAGAGCTTCCTTTGGCAAGCGTGCACGAAATGGGGGCTTGAGGTGCAAAGCTTCTGGAGCCAGTCTTTCGACTCGAAGACAATCTCGCCGTGATGTGCAGCATCGGGGTATGCATGGGGTAGATGCGCTATTATCCTGTCGATGATCTCGCCCGGAAGGCGCTGCTGAACACCAAAGACGTGCTGGAGTTTAGATGACAGGATGTTGCGTACGGAAACGACACGTGAGCGGGTCAACTTGCAGAGAGGCGCAGAAATTACTATCTTCTGGTTGAGCGGATCCGTGTTTTCGTCCAGCGGTGTTTTGTGCGCCATCTTGGCGTAGGCTGTGGTCGGGAGGCGGAAAGTAATCCGGCGGGTACAGCCACGGCTACAAACAAGTACAACTTTGCCTATTGGCCACTTGTAGACCCGTTCGATCTGTGCACAGGAAAACTCACATTTCAGAGCACAGATTGATCTAGAGAGTGGATTGATGGATGGGAGCTACAGAGGCAAAGTAAGAACAGAGAACGCGATCTCACAAGTTTACGGTACGAACTGATGAGTACAAACCCGATATTTTAGAGCGACTGCTCATCTTCGACTGAGAGCTTGGGGATGCGGAGAAGATCCTAATGAGTGCGATCAATTACCGCATTGAAACTGGGGAATGAGACGGCTTACTCATGTCTCTAGCGAATTGACACAAGGGTCGAGTGCTGATCCATGCCTTAGGCGACGAGACTCGACGACTCAGTAGAGAGTTACGAGGACCATGGATATTTGAATACAGCTGCCGATTGCGAGCATCATCGTGGGATCGAACTATGGATTTCATATCAGCAGAGCTAACTCGCGCGGACTGAAGCCTAAAAGACCTTGCCCTTGCTTGCAATGGCGACCACCGCCACTTTTTCCGCGGTTCTGGTGATGACCTGGATCACCGCACCACTCAGATAGGCCACGTCCGGCACGTCAAGGTAAGCAGCGACCACGTCGGACAAGTCAGCGGTGAGATCCGAAGAGACACACGCGAGATCGTCGAAACCACAATCGCAAGGAGAGCAGAAGGAATGCTGAGTGGGGAGCGGCGGTCCTCAAGGCGAAGAACGTCATCCTTGGCGCTGGCGAACATACATGACACTTGATGGGAGTAATGAGCTCGAAAATGGCGGTGTCAGGAACAGATAACGCTGCCCCACTGAGACTTTGACGCGTGCGACATAACTGGGAGAAGACGTGAGCAAATCAGAACGAGATGGGAGGGAAACATGAGGACATCAAAAATGAGGATGATAGCAGTTGCGCGGCGGAGTTTGGGCATCCGGCAGGCAAGCACTTGTGGAGATACTCATGCTGACATCGCCTCAGGTAAGATGAAAAGGATGCGATGTTGTCCGACATACCAATCCGAATGAGTCGATGAATGTCGTGACGGATACAGTCGGTGGTGACGAGTTGAGCTGGGCAGCACTTCTGAGAAGAGAAGAGGAATCCGCCCGGTGAATCATATTACGGAAATGCCCTAGCCCAGTGACAAAGCACACGGATCCAACGAAGGTCGCGCCAAGAACAATCATGATGTCGTTCTATGGTCCACAGAGCGAAGAGCTGTTGCGTAAGAGTCCAGTCTCCACCTCTGACAGAAGAGGCAGCAAAACAAAGAGAATGCCCCCCGCCATGGCCCTGGCTCGACTCGTGGCGCAGTTCCCGCGATGATAATCTCCACCGCATTTCCTGACCGTGGCATTCAGCAAACCACAAACGCTATAATTCGTCCGGCGCGCGGTGTTTTCCGTGCCGAAGCCCGCTAGGGCAGCGAACGAAATGAGGCCCAAGCACGATAAGATGAAGTTGTTGATAGGACTGTGATCTGGTCCATATGGCGATTGACATTCAAAAGACATGCAAAGCAGCAACAGGTTTAATGGTCCGTACCACAACACGACGCGGAGCGTGGCGAATTAGGAAGGTCCTCCGAAGGTCGTGGCGAAGGCGGGAAGAAGACCTGGTCTGTATGAACCAGGGATGGGATGAACCCGCACTGCACGGCTTGGCCCCCAAACTGTCTCGGACAAGCCGCCGACGATTGTCTTCCAATTATCGAAGAACATGAGGCTGGATGCGTGACGGGCAAGAAGCAGACACTCGTCCGGCGGCGGCCAGTTTCGAGAGGAAAAGGCATATGATGAAAAAGGTACTCGACATCTCCGCACTGCGGCTTTAAAAAGCATCCAGCCATACTTGGCGGACTCCAATCAAAGATAGCCTCCTTCGATGCAAGACACGGGATCCTCAAAGCCAATCAGCAGACTGACCGTCTCGCTGGAAAATCCTTTGTTCAGGCACCCCCAGTCCGTGGCATCGTGGCAGGCGAGAGGCGATGGGTCTCCTCGATGAGGCAGGAAATGCCCGAAGGGAGCACATTTCTCTGACCACCAAGCGAATGGCGTAGTTGGTGATGGCCAAATAATATTCAACATCCGAGATGTCAAGCTGCCAAAGGCTCTCCGAAAGTCCTCCGACACCGTACACACACATGAACAAACCCGACCAAAGACCATCGAGATCATCCTTGCCTGTGACCGCCTGTTGTCGAATTTACCAAAGCAGACTGACCGGTGTTCGACGGCCCCGATACTCGCCCTACAAAGCAGCACTCGGAACTTGGGCTTGAACTTGTTCACCTGATAATGGGAGTCAATCAATGCTGAGCTGATACGGAGCCTCCTGTTCTTCCTTGACTTCCATCGTTGGAGGGAACCGCGCTCACTTCCTAGGGCTCCGGGGAATCCCGTGGTCTCGGCTATCTTTCTTCGAGCGGCAATTACAGCTTCACCGCCTAAAAGTATGTGAGAATCCGATTTCTTGTAGAAGACCTTATGATGCTCTTATGATGCCTTTCGGTGACCGCTTTCTCCCATTGGTAATTCTGTGCGATATTATTGGACCCATCTCCAACACGTTCACAAAAAGCAGTGCGAGTCCAGCGATTCGGACTCAAAGCTGTTGCTATGTATGAGTAAAGCCCGAGGGTTCCTCGACCTGCTCAGTCACTGTATTGCTACTATTGCAGTTCTCCCGCCTTATCTCTGGTGCGCCGTTTGCGGCAGGTGCTTGCCTCAGTCATCTGCCGGACCTCCTTTGGCGTCGGCTGAAACTTTCTGTCCGAATAATAGCCTCCGCCCGCCGGGATGCTGCATGCAGAGGCTTGTGCCCCAATTGCAGACGGCCGCCTGGGACATCTCGCATGCCATGATCTTAGGACTGCTCGAAATGTCGCGACCCGACAGGACTGGGACTGCATGGGCCGGACCGGGGATATCCAATGCCTCATGTTCTTCGGTTGTCGAGATTTTGAAGAGAGTTGGCGACCATGTGCAGATGCCTGTGTGTTTTGTTCACACAGTCGTCTGGCGACGTATGATGCACCTGGTGCCTACGAGATCCCATTGGGTGTCTTACACACCTCGGGCTCGTAGATATCTAATCTGCCTTGATGATCAGTCAACGTCATGGGTTGGTCTAGTTGGTCCTCGGCATTTTGACCTGCGTTGTCGGGCCCCGGCGACCTGGGCGCAAGGCCAAAGCTTGTTCCCTCAAGCCCATGACATATCTCACGTGAGCATGCAGTCTGTCCATAGTTTCGAGTAACTTTGGACCAGATCCCATGTGGATCATCCCAGGAACACAAAGCCAGAATGGTAAAACTTTGGTAACTCTATGAGACTGTATGTGGACAGGCAAGGAAGTGCTGGCGCCTTTTACAGTAGCCGCGCCATGATGGCACTGGCTTTTGAGGGTCCTCCTTCCACGTCCCAGCGTCTGCTGCACTACGTTGTGTCAGCTTCGTGTGTGAGTCCGATCTGTTGCGGGGGCTCAGATCACCTCGAAGCTTCCACAGCTCTGCATCGGTGGGTATGTGCCAGTCAGATTGGTTTCTTTCTCCGCAGCTCTGGCTCCGCGCTCTGGGGATAGCCCAGGGTAGGCCAGGGCAGGCCAGGGCAGGCAGACGGCCCAAGGCGGCGTCCCAGAAGACGTCATGATAAGCGTCGCCGGCGGACCGCTGTCTCGCATCGCATCAGCTTCCCACGTGCTGAAGGCCCCTAAATCCATTTGGATTTGAAAAGGTACAGCGCAATACCAATTGCTGGGCAGAGCGAGAAATTGGAATTAGGAGGCACGCAGATGCGCGTAACCGGCGTAAAAGCCTCACCACGCTTGGAGAGAGACTCACCGGTACGTAACAAGGCGAGTCGGAGACGCAGTTGCAGCCCGGGCTGCTCGGACCTGTACGTTACCCGCAAAATCAACCCTGAATTCCACGCATACTAGGCCGTGGTAGCCGAAGCGTGGCAACGCGGATACGTTGGCCTGTGTTGGGACAAGCGACCATGACACTCACCAGGCGGCCGATGACCGCCTGCAGCCACAGTCAAGAGTGAGCGTCACTATGACCGATGCGGATATAACACCTTCGAAACGCGTCCGCGGAGCGCGTCTCACGCGTCGTGCACCCGATACACAGCCAACCAAACCCCCCGAGTGTAATAATGCGGATGCCATACAGTGAATGAGTGCGAGTAACGCTGATAAAGCTATAAAGTACTTTAAACCCGTGTAGAAGCCCTGAACGATGCAGAAGATAAATGATGTCTATGAGATGGATGGAGGGGTTGCATGCAGTGGAGAATCGAAAGCGACGAAAGCGAGATGCAAGTAATAGAGCGTGCGGGTGGGGGGAAACTGGGCTATAGCCAGTCGATCTACGAAGTCCCAGGTGGTAGAAAGAAGTCTAGTGATGAGAGGAGAGAGGGTGTGCGAGGGCGCGCAAATGAGGCGTGCCAATGAGGTGTGCAATGAGGTGCGGCTACTGTCGCGGTAGCGGTCGCTCATTTTGATTTTTGCTGCGTGCCCGCGGGCGGCGTCGTCAGCGCAATCATTCCTCAAAGGCCACCTCAATTGTGACAAAGAGATGGCACTCACCGGAGTGCGCATCATGGGTGCCGCTAATGTGGGTTGTGCGCACTGTACGACCAGAGTGTCAGGACGGTGAGCACAGGCTCAGGGAATTCTCACGGGCGTAGAAGGGTGTCCTGGTTTTGTAAGACTTTGCCGCAGCTAAATCGGAGAGAAGCCCGGTCAGACGCAGTGAAAATAGATCGATAGCAGGGGCAGACAAACCAGGGCTTCACTCTCTTTGGCCCGCTGAGCATACATGCTAGGATGCATGGAGATCTCGCCCATTGTCTTCGCGTTATGCAGGGAGTTCAAGGACGTCGAGACACTCGGGAAGGCGACTGGGCCCTTTTTGCCGGAGCTGGACATTTCGTGATACAAGAAAAGGAAGACAGAGAAAGGAGAGAAAGAAGATGGCCGAAGGGCGTGGCGCGTGCGGCGGCAGCACGGTGGGGGATGGTAGGAAAATTAGACCGTAATGGGGGAAATATATAAGTACCGATGTGACTGAACGCGTGACGCTTCCAACTTCCCGATCTCGCGTGTGAGAGCGTGACGCGGGTGGGAAGCTCAATGTGAGTGATCATCTCTCAACGTGTGCGCAATTCGCGTAGTAAGATAAGGTCCCAGATGCAAGCCAGATGCGACTTTTCTAGGATGCCGAATCGATCTCGACGAATTACGCAATGGAACACGAGGCCGGACGAAACCCCTGCTGCGATGGTCTTGGGAATCCGGATGTTTCTTGACTTCTATGAATCTCATCTCACCCGCTATCGACGCTGAGTTCGGGCCAAGTCATTACTATTAATGGCTGGGAAAATTATGACTGACGCGCAGTTGTATGACTCCCTCCTGCCGCCAAAACGCACGCAGGGTCGTGTGGGGTTGATACATTGAAGGGTCGAGTTCCACCCGGGGTCGGATGTGTGCTACAGCCTATACCGCGGAGGAAAGGCGAGAACAAGCACCTGCCCATTCTATATTGTAGCAACATGAGTCAACATCTGTCCCAGGTCCCCGCCATCCCGTGACGCGCAGGCTGTCCAAGCATATCTTTGAAATCCCCTGACTGGAGGTCGTGGACTAGCTGGCTGGTGATACAGGATGCAGTCCTTGCAGTGCTGGATTCAAGATCCGTTGATGTCCCATGTGCTTGTTTACATGTCGCAACTGGTTGCTCTGTGGGTGAAGGGATGGTGATGGATCATCGACGGTTCTCTTTCTTCGAGCATTTGGCCAAGCATGAGACAGTGACAAGCTGGGAGCGTGGGCGATCGGGGCCTGCCGGCGAGCGAAGCCACGTCTATAGAAAGCGCGGCAATGCTAGGTCTGAGAACAGCGGGCTTGACCGCTCAATGCAATCGCCCAGGAACACAGATCCAGTGCGCTAAATCAAGCTCTCCTCCGTCTGGGGTGAAAAGTCTCTTTGTGTTAAACACGTTAAACACACGCTATCGATTCATCATTTTGCATGTGTCTATTATTCCACTGCCTGAACGCCATCATAAGCGGGAAGTCGCTGACATGCCTCCGACCAATCAATCGTGCCAAAGACCAGGTCTGTGACAGTGGAAATTACATCGTCGAACGACCCGATCCGTTGATCCGTAGTATCACGCTCGCTGGTAAAGGTAAGCTCACAAACTATCTCGACCTGAGCGGAATGCCGCGCACCGTAATGTCATCGTCCTGTTTTGGACAGCTGGTCGCAAGCGCACATCAACGGGGTGAACAGTTCGAGAAGGGCAAAAACGCACAGGCAAAGTCCAATGTGATACCGAATGGTGTGCCCAATTCGTCATTTCGCGCATACCGCTTGCCAATTGACGTGTTTGAATCGTCAACTCGAGCATGAACCCCAGCCTTCCTCAGCCGGGAAGCTTTAAGCAGCATACTTAGCCGCGAAGCGCATGGCCAATGACAAATCTGCACGTACAGACTTCCTGAACCAGTGGATCAAACTCGGCTCGAGCGCTGAGGGGGACAATCAGGACTTTTGTAGGTGCAACGACCGCTGGCAGGGACAGAACCTGCCGCACGTCAGTACACAGCGGAGATGAAAGTCCAGCGACTCACACCACGCTCCACATCCTGCTCTCTGCTCCAGAAGCTGTGCTCGAGCAAACAGTACAAAATGCGACCCAGCCCAAACGAGGGCTCGATAACATTGGGCGTAAACTCCCGGACTAAGAGGGGTCAGCGTGTGAAACAAACCTTTGGCACGACTTACTCGAGGTCTTCAGGGTTTTGCGTTCGATAGTGAGCATGGATGGCTCCACCATAAACTCGCGGCCGTCAGCAGCTTGCACTTTGGCCGGGCTGGGCGACAGTCAGATCACGGGGAAGCTCGAAAACAGAGACTCTCACCCTTGAGCTAGCTCGCCCTTCAGCCGCATCAGCGCCGCCTCATCCATGTTCTCGACAGCGGCGGAAACAGCCGCAGCATCGCCTTTGAAGGTCTTGCCGAGCGACTTCTTGTCCCATTCTGCCACAGCCTTCTCCTCGACGATGGGCTCTTTCAATGCTTGCCGCACAACAAGAGGTTGGCCAGTCTTAGCAGAATGAACGCTGAGATCGTAGGCAGACCTGTCGGCACAGCCAACACACTCGGTCCACCCACCGACACTGTTCTGAATCTCAGCGTCCCAGCAGTCCGCAGCGTAGTGCGCCATCTCGTTGGCCATGTGCTGGCGGAATCGCAGGCGTTTCTCGTCAATTCCGATCCTGACCAAGAATGCGAAGATACGCGCGACAAAGTAGCCGAGGGTTTCGTTCGCAATGACACCCTGCTTTACTGCCTCCCCGACAGTCATCCGCCGGGTGGTAGTCTGCCCAGAAGCCTGTGTGTACTTGTCCAAAAGAACAAGCTCGACGTGCGCGACCTCGCTGAACCTGGTATGCGTCTTCTCAAGAGGGTCGACGAAATGCTCGATTTCGGCCATCGTGAACTCGCGTACACGGAGCAAGCCGGCGCGAGGAGAAATTTCATTTCGGAAGGAGCGCCCAATCTGAGCTGATGCAAATGGCACCCGTCCGTTGTTGAATTCTAGAAGACGCGAGAAGTTCAGGAAATGTCCCTGCGCCGTTTCGGGGCGCAGATATCTGAGTCACATAGCGATCAGCAATCAGGTTTCCCAGAGAAGGGGATAAAAGAACAAAAAGAACAGGATGGGATACGTCCAAAGGCATGATGAAAATGGAAGACATCAACGAATGATCGATGATGACCACCCTGGTCCGAAAACAAAGAAAATGGGGTGCAAAAGCAGATGTAGGGTACAGATGACCGAAGAGCGAGCTCGAGACAGATATGGCAGAGCGCATCGACGTGCGATGGACGCAGGGATAATCTCGACACGGCATTGGTGAACAACAGATCATCCGGTTGATGGCACCGGAGCGAGAAATCCGAACAAGATTCGCGGTCGAACATGGCAGAGATGAATCGCGTGTGGTGATTGCATTCACACCAGCAAAACACGCGCTAAGAACGCCGGTGAAAATGGGTGCGGGTGCATGGCTTTTGGTCATCAAGGACTACCTTGACAACAACGGAGGTAACCGGCTGCGAGCGAGATCTCCCCCCCTTGGCGACATCCCAAAAGGAACGAGCAGCCCAGAAATAGGGAGCAGCTAAAAGCAAACGAGCAAGTACCAAGCGTTTGTTACCCCCACCGCATCAAAGCCTAAAGTCCGCGACCGAAGATACACTCGATGCTTCTCTGAAACATCACAAGTGACGACGAAAAAAAACCCAATCAAAAACACGGAAAAATGCGATGGGATTATCACGTGGCTCTTGGGAGGGATGGGCCATGCAACCATCGTCCTCAGCATCAGTGGCCGACCAGGAACCGGAGAAATGAGAAGGAGAAACAACGACCGAGAAACAGGCGAGGATGAAATAAGATACGCGGATAGGGACGTACCCGGGATGCTGACCAGTCGGCCCGATGGAGCTTGCGAACATAAGATTGAACTGTTGCGGCTCGCCTACAGGGTTGCCCGAGCCTGGGTTCGTGATCGAGTGCGTGCGCATGAGCTGGCCAAGCTCGGGACCGGAGTAATTGTCCAACTAGTGGTGACCGTAGGGTTCAGGTGCACTGTAAAGCAAAGTCACAGGACGACGCACCTGAGCAAGGATCGACTCATACTCCGCAATGACTGCATCCTCCAATTTCACCGCCGTCGTTTTGACCTGTTTCTTTTTCTTCTTGTCCGTAGCCACGGGTACTGGCACAGCACCTCTCGCCTCCTTATCCCCAGCCAGGCGTGCCTCCAGCACGTTCTTGACGAGGTGGTCCGCACGTAAGACTTCCCCATTGAGCGTATCCTTTACCATCCAATCGGCAAATCGCGCTACATGACCGGAAGCCTCGAACACGGGTGAAGGCGTCATGATCGTGGTGTCGAGTTCGAGCATTGCCTCTTCGACGATGAAATGGCGACGCCATTCGGCGATGATGTTGGCTTGCAACGACGAACCGGGTGGGCCGTAATCGTAGAGTCCAGCCACACCTGTAGCGGATTTAAACCTCAGAGAAGGAGCCAGACCCTTGGGATAGAGACGCACCGCCATAGATTTCGAATGCGGGGGCGTAGAAAAAGCGACGATTGAGAAGAGCGTCAAATCGCGTCTTGTCGAATGGGTGAGCGGTTTTGTTGACGGTCGTCATGGTCGACGTGTCTCTTGGAATGCGATTCCAAGTAGCGGTGCGAGTAGCTGAGCGGATGAAATGTCTTGAAGTCCTAGATCGAAGGAGATGTGATAGAGGAGAAGAAAGATAATCAATGCGCATTCGAAACCGAAAAAGGACGATCTGAGTCAAGAACGATCGGCACGTGATATGATCTCTTTCCAATTCAGGACTCGACCTCGAACTTCAGCGCCATCGAAGCACGAGTGCCTTGGAATGTACGAGACTCGATACCTGCACGGTGAGCATCATCTTCTAATTTTATCTTCTTTTTATTGAGGGTCATCGACCCGAGAACTCTCGTACATGATGGAGCCTAGAATAAATACGCTCATTTACACTCGACATCGTGCGCTGAGTAGGCCGATAGCTGCGGAGAATCACTTGTGCTTGACTGTTAATTATCTGGGCACTTGCGCTGTGATAGGTTACAAGGGGGCTCTCGTAATGCAAAGTATATCTTATCTTGTCATCCCTCATCCATGCATTTGTCTTTGCAAAGTCGCAACCGATCTGACCGCAGGTCTTGGATGGATGGAGATTCTGCTAAGCAATTAACCAAGTAGGTGGAGAAAACACCATGATCCTGACGACAAGTCGCACAGAATTTGGCCTGTCTCATATGTCATTCCTATGAAATTTCTGTCAGTGGGGTGAGAAAGCACGAGGCTTGGACCGTATCACATTCTCTACGTCTGATGAACACAGAGTTTTATTCCTGGAGTTCATTCATTTCCACCACGCTCAAGCACGTTTTCCCCGTTGACATTCATCTGCGCCATCTCCACCAAATTAGCCCTCTTGTTCCACACACACTTGGAAATTACATGAATGACTGTTCATCTTCTGTTATCGACTCAGATAGCACTCAAATAACTGGTGCTGAAGCCGGCTCGAAGATTCGATCGAAACTTGCTCCTTTAGGTTCTCAAGCGTTGAGGTGGCGATGCAGCTATCGCACGAATGAGGTGATTTAACTGAAAGAGTATCAGAGCTGAAGTGAGAGTTGAGTTGAGAACGCGTTGTCTTAAATTTTCTGAACCTCACTGCTATGAATGGAAATGTATTAGAGCCGCGTCAAAATACCGCAACAACGCGATAATCAGGCACAAGTAAGGACAGCTTTGCTCCTGCTTGGATATCATGTGATCGCTCGCTGTGGACAGGCAAACATTTCGACGTCACGCGTCGACATCATATCCTACTTTAGTACTTACCAGCAGACTTTGTTTCGACTGGCACTTCACTCCTAGTTTCCGCTAATGCACTAGAGCCACCGAGAGACTCCGTTTCAGGTAAAGCTCCTTCAAGACCGTCTCAGCAGAATCAGCTGACTGGTCATTGTCAAGCAACTGTCATCATGCGTGTCGAATCAGTTTGCCTTGGCTTCCCAAAGCCGTTCGGGATGGTTCCTGAAATACCGAATCCTGTCGAGCCTCTGCCTCGAATGAATCGCCAACCCTGTAAAGAGGGGGGCACTGCAGACTACAAACCCGCTATCTGGGTCAGCAACGGACATCTCTTCCGGTCCGACACACTTCTCACTGATTAAATAAGCGCTGTCTTGGTGGATGATTGTCGCGCGAATCGTCGATTCTTGCCTCACATGTATACATGAAGCATAGCCCGCGCTTGTCGGGACCAGGGACGTTTTCTTCTTTCTCTCTCTCTCTGACACCTCTCTCCGTCCTTGCTTCATCTGCGCAATATGGATCGATGGGTTCTGTTGGCTTTATCGCTGTTTTTTGCGACTCGGGGCATCTGTGCAGGGCACCTGGACGTCCTTCCTCAAGAAACTACCGTGCCTCAATGCTCGACGCTGGAAGTTCTTTGGGATCAACCTGTGCGTAATGTGCGCTTCCTGCTGGATCTCGGGAGCTGATAGTACTACCCGCTACTCACGCAGTCGCCAATCGTGAGTCCATCGATCGCTCTTACAAATTTTCGTTCTCAATTGCGCGATTTGCAGCACCTTCACGTACAACCCAATCTTCTGATCAACGTCACAAATCTTTTCGACCTTGGTATCCAGAATGGGACGTTCACGACTTACCAAGTCGCACTGCCTGTTGGTACGAGAGATTTGTTCTTTTCATAGCAATTGCTGATCAAGTGCAGGCCAAAACTTCTCTTTTGCCTACAATACACTGGCCAACCAGTTCCTCGTTTTCCAATGCAAGCACTCTTGTGATGGAATAAAAAACATGCGCTGATTGCCAGTTCCAGCTTCCATGATGACTGTAGGACCAGGAACAACGGAGTGTCTATCGAACGGAAACCCTAGCTCCAGTGCCTCCTCCTCCTCCTCCTCCAGCACCTCCTCCTCCAGCACTTTGACTTCAAGTGCCACAGCTCCTGTTTCGACATCATCAACTGCTGTACTATCACCGTCTGCTGTCCCAGACACGAATAGTCATAGCGGGAGCGGGATATCTAGCGGTGCTGTCGGTGGAATAGTGGTTGGAGCCGTTGCTGTGATTTTGGCTGCTTTGGGAGGATTCTGCTTCTCCAAACGACGGTACAAACAGAAACTAGCTGCACTGGAGGGATCACAGCACGACTCAGTTACTCCTCGCTTCTTGGATCAGGAATCGGGTCGAGGTCAGGCAGTTACCATGATCAGTCGTATGTGCTACCATCCACAACGAACTAACTGCTGCTTAATGCTTTCGCTTAGCCTACCGAACAGAATCCTTTACCAGTCCGTACGATCCATCCATCATGCCCAGCACGGTCCGGAGCCCATTTGCCATGGGATCGCACACACTACCAGAGCCTTCGCTTGTCTCACCGCCTACGACAAGAAAAGGAAGCTCGACCGCATCAGTGACTCAGCCCCCTGCTGCGCCGAGAATACTGCATACGGATGGTGGGGTGCGAGTCGAACCGGAAGAACTTCCTCCTGTGTATCGAAACTACGATGATTAATAATGTATAATTACTTACTTGGTCTCAATCTGGCACCGATTTACATTCGGAGACTGTCGTGAAAAGATCTGTAGAGATCTGCGCTGTGCAGTGCATATCCTTCAAGTTCTAGAATCAACATCAAGGAACCTCCCTAACATCGATTGTTGGCTTCTAGCGATGGGCGTTTCAGCGTGTTTCATCGCTGTCCCATGTAACGTCGTGTCCATCCTTAGCGAAAGATTGTAGTTACGTACCAGTGCTGTCGACGACGAGCGGGGGCTAACTCGGAGTTGGTTGTTGAGCAACGCCTGGATGTCTTATGAGGCCCGCTGGATTGGGGACAAGGCTCGCTTGCTGGCACGCTCCCCCTTTGCAAAATCTCACTGGCCGAGTCCCACATGATGGTCGCACTACTCTCTTTTCTCGTTCTGGCTTTCCTTAGCATGATTGTATCAGCCGGAGACCTCGACGTTCTTCCCGTGCAAACTCTTGTGCCCCAATGTTCAGTAATCACTGCTCGCTGGTCGCAGAAGGTGCGCAATCCCAAAATCTCAGATAGCGCGGAATGATGATGGCAAATAGCCGCCTCTCGTAAGGAGGTGTTCTTTGTGTAGCGAGAGCATCGAATTTGAGCCATTGCGCAGCATCTACATGTTCAACCAGAAGATTCGATCACGCTGACAAACCTGGTCGATATGGGTGTGCAAAATGGCACATCCACGACTTTCCAGGTTTCGCTCCCTATAGGTTAGCCTTTTGTGGGTTGATTGGGCAGAAGATTTGACGCCAACATGTCTAGGCCAGAATTTCTCTTTCGCGTACAACACTCTGGCAAATGAGTTTCTAGTGTTTCAATGTGCGTTGTTCATCGGTTCTCGAGATGTGTTCCGAACCGATTGCCAATCTAGCCAATGTCATGCAAGTTGTGGCGGGGAATACAGACTGCTTAACCACGACGGTCTCGGCACTCAGTCCACCCGCATCAACAAGTCAAGCAGTCAGCTCGAGCGTAGTCCCCACGTCATTGTCGAGTTCAAGTCCGTCGCCCTCAAAGAGCGATGCTACTGCCGTGTCCACCACCAGCGCAACCCTGGCACGAGCGTCGGCTAGATCAGGTCCTTCGATCGGAGCCGTGGTTGCCATCATCCTGGCAGTTTCGGCCATCTTCCTCGTCGGCCTGGCCTTGTTCTGGCGGTCTCATAGGACATGGATGAAGCAAATGGCGGAGGCGAATGCGGATCAGGAACGGCCGCCCAGTGAAAAACCGCAAGGTCGTTTCTTGGGTGCCGTCCTCGGTCGTGCTGAGGGACCCTCTCCTCTTCGTTCGTTAACTCTCTTCCGCAGCCTAGGAATGATGCTGATACTAGCCTCTTCAGCCTACAGAGAAGAGACTCCGCCGCCGCCAATTACGCCACCGAAGTCATGGTTCGTCGGTACGAGAGCGGCCATATCCCCGGGCGCTTCGAGCAGCGATGGCCGTGGTCAGCAGGACTTCACTCCTGACAGCGGAGACGGTCCACACGACAAGCTAAGGATCACGATCCCCCCGCAGACCCGCCGGTTTGTCGTGAGCAATGCTGCCACACCCGTGGTGCACACAGATGGGGGCGTCAGACTCCTGGTGTCGGAACGAGATTTGCCGCCGGTCTATTACAAGTACAGTTGAGTAAGTTGGAGATCTTGTGGGATGTCCGAGACATTGAACAGGAAGAATGTTAAGAAAGTTTCGGTCACCTGATTCCGATGCTATCAATCCTAGGCTTGGTCCTTTCACCATCATGGTCAGACTTTAGCTGACGGGTCGGCTCGGGCCCGCCCAATCCACTCTTGAATGCTAGCTCTATCGGAAAATCAGACGGACGAGCCACTGAGGGAGAGACGAATGTGCCGGATTTCTCACGCCGAGCTTCGATCTCTTATCGCACCTGCCAGCGCTGCCAGGTCGATAGATAAGTTGGAGCTTCTTCTCGGGAAGAGACAAATACTTGAGCTCCGCTTGCTTCCTGCTTGCTTCCTGCTTCTTGAATCTCTCGAACCACGAAAGTTTAATGTCAGCGTCTGGAACGGTACTGCCACAGGGCGCGGGATATGGTGTCGGTTCGTGTTCGCTAATATTCTGAGGATTTTCATAAGCTCATATCGACGGCGCACAGTCGTCGGTGCGTTCACAGGACCTTGCCTGCTCGATGCTTGACCGAGTGCATGGCGCAGGGATCGGCCTGTTCTTCAGCGCGTTCATGATTGGGTTGACGGCGCTCCAGTCGCGGTACACGTCTTTCTCCCCGCGCTCGTCGGAAGAATTCAGCAGCGCGTCCCGCTCTGTCAAACCGGGACTCATCGCGGCAGGGATCGTGAGCGCGTGGACCTGGGCAGCGACGTTGTTGCAAAGCAGCGCGGTTGCGTATAAGTACGGTGCGTAACCGACAAGCTTGCTTCTCGTCTTCTTCTGATCTCAAGGACGTTTTATACGCTAGGCATCAGCGGGCCGTGGTGGTATGCCTGTAGGTCATTGCGGTCCAATTGGTCGTGTAAACGCTGAATTTCAATCCACAGCGGGTGCGACAATTCAAGTGCTGCTGTTTGCGATGGTGCGGGATACATCGAGTCGGCTGATTCGCCTTCTGCTTCTTCGACTGACCACTTCTCGATTGCAGATCGCCGCGAAGCTGAAGCTCAATGCACCGTACGCACACACTTGGCTCGAAATTGTCGGCGCCAGATGGGGCAAAGCTGGTGTGTGAAACGGTCCCCTTGTGGAACTCTCGGCCAATCTCCCGTTTTTCAGCGCATCTGATCTTCATGTTCTTTGGGTACGGATTAATTCCGATGATCTCACGGCCTATTGAATTGCGATACAGATTGGCTACAAATATCATTGTGAGCTCCATGCTGATTCTGGGTGGGAGCGCCACAGTCACAGATCTCACTGGGATGAGCACCATCGCCGTCAGTCCTCTCACCGGGTTTTCCTTCACTTTTTGATCCACTGCCATGTTCAGGCCTGCTTTCTCATTCCACTGGGTGTTTCGATCTATGTTGTTGTTGGCGGGATGCGTTCGACGCTTTTGTGTGATTAGTATGTCGCATGAATCTTGTGGTCCAAGCTCAGCTGAATTCGTGCAGCACCCACACGACTGTCCTTTTCGCCATCATCTTCGCACGTGTTTTCATTGGCCTGCTGGTCATCGACGCTGATGTCATTCCTCTGTAGGTTTTCGTATTCACAGTCTATGGCACGAGCGAAAAGATCGGCAGCCCTTCCAAGATGTACGAGCTGCTGACATCAGCAGCAGCGGCATCCCCTGTCCCAGGAAATGCCCATGGCTCGTATCTGACGATGCGCTCGAAGAACGGACTGATATTCGGTGTCATCAACATCATTGGAAACTTCGGTGAGGCCTGAGGTCATGAAAGAAGAGCTGGGTCTGATCGCCATGGATAGCCACCGTCTTCCAGGACCAGGCTTACTTCCAGCGAGCGATCGCCAGCCGGCCTTCGACGACAGTCAAAGCCTACCTTCTTGGCGGCCTCGCATGGTTTGCGATCCCCTTCACGCTCGCGACGACTCTTGGGTTGGCTGCAGTGGCGCTCCGTGGGGACCCCAGCATGCGGGTGCTTTCTCCCTCCGACGTTTCTGCGGGGCTCCCTGCTGCTGCTGCCGCGAGCGCTCTGTTGGGGAAGGCAGGCGCTGCCTCCCTGCTTGTGTTGTTGTTTTTGGCTGTCACGAGCGCGACATCGGCGGAGTTGATCGCAGTGTCTTCGCTGCTGACTTATGATGTCTACAAGGTATGGTTGAGGCTCGACCATAGAATGATCCTGATTGGATCTGCAGAAATACATCAACCCGCAAGCCACTGAAGCACAGATTCTGCGCGTCAGCCATTGGATGGTGGGTTTCCCCTCGTTCCTTACTCGTTTGGGCGCCCATCTCCTACACAGGTCGCATTTTATGCTATCGTCATCGGTCTTGCGGGCCTCATCTTCTTCTACATCGGTGTCTCCATGGGGTGGCTATATGTATGTCCGAACTTCTCCGTCCGATGTGGAATCTAAGCGTAGCTATAGACCTTCATGGGCGTCATCCTTGGCTCCGGTGTTGCCCCTATCGCACTGTGCATTACTTGGAGCAAGGCCAACAAGAAGGGCTGTATCATTGGCTCTGTGCTCGGTTTCGTGGCAGGCATTGTCGCATGGCTTGTGACCACCAGCACTTTGAACGGCGGTATAATTAACGTCAACACTAGCGGAGGTCTGTCTGTCTGTTGACGACAAAAATCATGAAACTAAGCGTATCGGGCCAGGTGACTTTGAAATGCTTGCCGGCAACCTCGCATCGATTGGTGTCGGCTTCATCATTTCTGTTGGTACTTCCTATGTTGTAGGTCGTCCGTTGCTGCACTCCTGGAAGTCCACTCACTCATGTCCAGTGGCCGGAAAACTACGACTTCGAATCGACCCGCGCGATTAACAAGCCAGTCGAGCTGGTCAAGGAGAAAGAGGATGGCGAGCAGGAGAAAGTCAAGGAGGGAGAAAAGTCACCTTCGATGGTCGAATCGACAGCCTCCCCTGCCCAAGTTGATGATGAACTTGAACCAGCTGCCTTGATTAAGGCCTACGACTTTGCCGCCTGGTCTTCGCTTGTATTGGTGAGCTTTCTCTCGGATGCCACTTAGTGATGATGCTCAACCTGGCAGCTTCTCATCCTCATTATCCTGATTCCGCTGCCGCTGTTCTTTGCGTCAACAATCTACGGCAAAGGAGGCTACACCGCATGGGTCGTTATTGGGATCATCTGGTCGTTCTTGTCCGCATTTGGTGTGGTGCTCTATCCACTTTGGGAGAGCAGGGCTGCTCTCGGGCAGATTTCCGGCGGGATCATCAAGGCAGGTCTATCCTCAGCCTTTCGTGATTGTTGGGGCTGATAGTGTCCTCAGGACATATTCTCCCCGGGAAGTGGCAAGTATGTCGCTGAAGCTAGACAGGCCGGCGAGGTGGCTTGATTATTGACGCAAGGCCCGGCGGACATGACTGACATGTTATATCACGAAATCTGGATGGAAATAGGGCGGTAGACGGGCGGAAACGAGCCGAAACGTGACTTGTTATGCGAATGTAGACAAGATTCCCTGTTTATAAACATTGGGCTGAGGTCTTTGAGCCTGGAGATCGAGGTGATCACGGGCCGAATCATCTGATGTGGATCGAGCCAGAGGCTATCTCTCGCTGAGGTCGAATTGCAATTGGCCGGTGTTGGAATAGGAACGTGGACCTCTTTTCTTCCATTCACTCGCATAATCCTCGCAAGTTGTTTTGTGGGCCAGAGAATTCGATTCGAAGGGTCGAGTCAAGAGACATTCGATCACGTGGAACACATTTTATTCTCTCGTCCATCAACTGCTTCCCCCACACTTCCTCCACTGCTCCGTCACCTCCAGTAAAAGACTCGTGAAATGCTGGTAGCGTCGCGTCTCGGTGGACGGGCTGCGGTCTCAGGACGCGCTGGAGCTGTAGTCGTACATTCTACTCGCGCTGCTATTGCTCCGCTCCCCAAGGCGAAGATTTCCGTGCGGACATTGCAGTCGATTGCGCAGACCGACCGGGTGAGCAAATTCATTCCCTTTTTAAGCGCTACTCCTCCCTGTCGTTTTCCAACCTCTGACGGTGCCAATTAGGACACGATTACTCGTCTCCTCTACTCCATCGGCACCAAACGCGAGGTCGAGCGCCATCTGCGCATCTTTTCCTCGTCGTCGCACCCCTCCCAACCCGCCAAATTTGCGGTCATCAAGATTGGGGGCGCCGTTTTGGATCAAATAGACGAGCTCGCATTAAGCTTGAGCTTCTTGTACAGAGTGGGATTGTACCCAGTCGTACTGCACGGTGCGGGCCCGCAACTCAACCAATTGATTGAGCGGGAGGGTGTGGTCCCTGATTATATTGACGGGATTCGAGTTACTGGTTTGTCTCATTTAGCCGCCCACAACCTGTGCATGGGAATCTAGACTAACGCCGCCCTGTAGACGCCAAGACGCTTCAAATCGCCCGCCGGGTTTTCCTGGAGGAAAACCTAAAGCTCGTGACGGCGCTCGAGAAGCACGGCACGCGCGCTCGGCCCATCACATCCGGGGTGTTCACCGCCGACTACCTGGACAAGGACAAGTACGGACTAGTAGGGAAGATCACGAAGATTGACAAGCGACCGCTCGAGGCCTCGATCCGAGCGGGCGCTTTGCCCATTCTCACGTCCCTGGCGGAATCTCCCGACGGCCAGATCCTGAACGTCAACGCCGACATCGCAGCAGGCGAACTCGCCAAAGAGCTCGAGCCGATGAAGATTGTCTTCTTGAACGAGAAGGGCGGGCTGTTCCACGGTGTGACAGGCGAGAAACTGTCCGTGATCAACTTGGACGAAGAATATGAGAGTTTGATGAAGGAGCCTTGGGTCAAGTTTGGCACGAAGCTCAAGCTGCGGGAGTTTAAGGAACTGCTGGACTACCTTCCCCGCACATCGTCTGTTGCTGTTATCTCAGCACCGATGCTCCAAAAGGAGCTGTTCACGGACAGCGGCGCGGGAACCCTCATTCGTCGTGGCTACAAGCTTTTCAAGCACGACTCGATCGAGGGCCTCGGCGCAGACCGCTTCCGCCAAGTCATCCACGACCGTGACCCCGAAGTTTTGAATGGCTTCCAGAGCGTGGCCGGTGTACTGGCTGAGATGAAAGACTCGGCATACACCATCTACGGCGACGAGCCGCTGGATGTGGTCGCCGTCGTGTCCCATCCCCCTGGCGAGACTCCAGTGCTGAAGAAACTTCTCCCGTCTCGTGCCGGTGTCCTGAACAATGTGATGGACAATGTCTTCAACGCCATCAAGAAGGATCACCGTCGTCTGTTCTGGACTGCGCAGGCTGACGATGACAACCGCGCTTGGCACTTTGAGCGGGCGGACGGCAGCTTCACCCGCGCAGGGAAGAGTCTGTTCTGGTATGGCGTGCAAGATGTGAACGAGGTCGAGCGCATCATCAAGGACTTCGAGCAGAAGGGCCGGATCGAACGGTCCTATCTTCCTGTGGGACCGTCCGCGCCACCGCACAAAGCGTCTGCTCCCTCTGGCAAGCGGTCGTTCTCGACCAGCGCTCGGCGCATGGCGGAGCCGGCTACCGGGCCGGTGTCCACTGAGGTCAAGCGACTTGGGCTGATTGGCGCTCGAGGGTACACTGGCCAGGCGCTGACTACACTGCTCGCCAACCATCCGCATCTGGAACTCTCTCACGTGTCCTCGCGGCAGCTTGCGGGGATGCCGCTCGAGGGATATTCGAAAGCGCAGGTGACGTACTCGAATCTGTCGGTCGAAGATGTAGAGAGGATGGAGAAGGATGGGGAAGTCGATGCGTGGGTGATGGCCCTTCCGAATGGAGTTTGCAAGCCCTTCGTCGATGCCATCGACCGTGGGGCCGAGGGCAAGACCAAGGAGAAGAGCAGCGTTGTGGTGGATCTGAGTGCGGATTATCGATTCGAGGAGGGCTGGACGTATGGCCTGCCTGGTGTGTCGCGTTAATTTGTACCATGAATTTTGAATCGATCCTTCGAAAGAATTGTATGGCCGTTCTCAAATCCGGACATCTAAACGTATTTCCAACCCTGGTTGTTACGCAACTTCGACGCAAATGCTGCTCGGTCCGCTGGTCGACAAACTTGCTGCAGTCCCCAGCGTGTTTGGAATGTCAGGTTACAGCGGTGCTGGGACCGTGATGGCCACTAACCCCGACGGCCAACCAACTAGCGCCCCAAAAGTGTCACCAGAGAGTCTCGGCGGGGGCGTCCGACCGTACTCTCTGACCGGGCACATCCACGAGCGTGAAGCTGGCCACCACCTGTCCCGGCTGGGCACCGCCGGAATCAAGGTCGCTTTCGTGCCCTCCGTGTCGCCATGGTTCAGCGGAATCATCTCCACTGCTTCTATTCCACTGAATGGCTCTTACTCTGCCAAAGAGATTGCAGCTTTGTTCGCCGAAAAGTACGAAGGGGAACGCTTAGTCAGGCTTATGTCAGGAGTGCCAGAGCTCAAGGATATCGAGGGGAAGCACACCTGGAGCGTTGGAGGGTTCCAGATGTCCCGAGAGGGAGACCGCGTCGTCATCGTCGTGCGTTAGATCGATTTTATTGCAGAGAGCTAGACTCATTGCCATAGGGTGGATTGGACAACCTGTTGAAGGGTGCTGCCACACAATGTCTACAAGTGCGGCATGAACTCGTATTCCCGTGGAAAAACACTAAATCTGTGCAGAATCTCAACCTAGCCCTTGGATATGACGAGTTTGCTGGCATTCCAACTGCGTAGAATGTGATGGGAGGGGACTAGACGAGATCTTGATCTAAAAGTACAATTTTGCTCTTCCTTAGAGTGATCTCCAATGTGTTTAATCTGTTGATGTTTCCGCCATATTTCCCTTGTATCGCTCTACTCTTATGGATCTGATAAATCGTGGATAAGTTTGTCAGAAGAAATATTGGGGGAGCCCTGAATCGAGAGGTTTCGGCCGCACTACGTCCGCACGCCTGGAAAGGAAGGTCTTCACAACAGTTCCATCGTCAAAATTGCGTCATGAATTTGATGTATGTACAACACATTCGGGAGAAAGAATAGATATAATGATACAGATACATTGATTTCGTGTTGAGTTATTCGTCGATTCGTTCAAATCCTTCCGCTCGAAGACGCAAGCCGTAAAGTAAAAGGAGAAGCGGGTCCATATATGCGATGCTAAGAGGAGATAAGCAGTCCCAGAGGAAAGTTTCGAGCGTGCGTCTGGTTGGTGGCGCGTTGCGGATGGGCATGTCAATCCATGTCCATATCGATATCGTCGATGTCTTCCATGCCGTTCCAGCGACGAGCCTCGCCCTTCTCGTCGATATCCTCCTCACCCTCTTCTTCTCTGACGCCCCCGAGATCGAACTCGAGACCAAACTCTTCCTCTTCTTCATGTTTCCAGACACGCGTGCCTCGGGAGTATGAGTACGCTCGGTCGTCGTCTTCCTCATCGTCGCTGGGCGTCGAGCGGGACCGGCTTTGCTCCGAAGAGACGGAAGCCGAGACACTGACAGAACGCGGGACGCTCCATGCACTTCCCACACTATGCCCGTGGACATGTCCATGTCCGTTCCCATAACGCCCGGTACGGGGATGAGGAACCTCGACGACACCGGAGCGGACCTGAACGCCTCGCGGAACCTCATAGTCATGCAATCTCGGGCCGGGAACGCTCCCCGTAGTCCGAGTCCCATGACCATAGTCACTGGCACTCGCGACCGAGCCGAACCCAGTTGACCCATACGAGGCAGGAACGTCGCCGTCACCTTCGAGCGTGCCACCGCTGACCCATCTAGGCCACATGCTCCGATCCTCCGGGAGACTGGTGCCAGTATCCGTATTCAGGTGTGAAAGAATGGCAGCCGCCTCGAGAAGTTGCACTTGCGCATGTTTGGTGAGGACGCCACCTGAAGCGGAATGGGGTAAAGACGACAGCGTGCGCCAATGGGGGGTATGTTCCCAGCGGTGCTTAATAAGACACGAGGGATGGCGGTAGATCTACATCATGGTCAACGTCAAATCACGAAAGAGGGTGCATGATGGGGAAAGTAAGACAAGGTCACTCGCCCCGCATATGTCAGCAGGATGAGTCATGTCAACCAATAAGGGAATAAAGGGGTTGTATCTCGTCATCAAAAATTTCCCAAGATAGGGCATACAGCGCAGCCGACAACGGCATGAAGCAGGCAGAGGCAGATGGATGAGAGGAGTGAACATAAAGACAACCACATCGAAGCGTCAAATGAATCAGTGTGATGGGCAGTCCCAATCAATGAGCGAATCAAGCAAATGAAGGCGATGCAGGATGGGACAGAAAAAAGATGGACTGAGTCAAGGCGGACAACGAACCTTTGAGCAAGTTTCGCACTTATGGTCCACCCCGCGTTTCTTATTGCGCCCAGAGCCAATCGGTATCGGTGAGCTGCTGTCCGCCGGAGCGCTAGCGGCTATAGCGAGACCAGCTGGCGGAGGAGAAACCGAAGAGGAGAGCGACAGGCCCTTCATCGCCAGTGTCGGGCTACCGACCGCCCTATCAAATTCTAAGTCCTCCGGCAAAATAAGTACTAAGAGGACTTACAGGGGACGAGTGGCTGCATCCCTCGCGTCGCTCAGCCTACGGTGTCTGTTTGTCGAGGACAAGCGCCTGTGGGGTGCCTGGCCGATCGGCGGCGGATGCCTGGGTGGATTGGCAGCCACGGCATCAGATATGTGGATCGGTTGGGCGGCCGCAGCGGCCAGGGAGAGAGAAAGCAGGCTCTGAGAGGCCGCGTCCTAAATAACCACGTATTAGTCAGTGAACGCCAGGGAAACTTTTCTGCTGGACCAGAAACGTACGTGGGGCATGGCGGATGGAAGAGGGGTACAAGAGATGATAGAACAACAGGGTACAAGGTTACAGCTGAAGGTGCATGAGAAGGAAAGAGGTGTGGTGGTAGCGGCAAGCCAGGACAAGCAGAATTCCCATCAATTGTCCTGATGATCATGTCCACGCCTCCCGCTTTCGTCGATCTCACCCTCCGCGGCCATGTTGCTTTCCATAGCCTTCGGCGGCCTCCACATTACATGCTCCGTGTTTACAGATTTACATACTCGTTCATCCGGGTCAAAGCACTATCGAATGATCTCCCATCAATCATCAAGGCTCAAAGCGCTCAGTGTCTAGTATAACACTTTTGACCTGCCACCGCTTCTCTGTGTTACGCGCGCGCTTTCTCTCTGATTTTTATTGTTTAGTCTCTCAAGTAGGCAAAGCGGCATCAATGTGAACTCCAAAGCACTAGTGTATAAAGCAGAATCACGTCGCTATGATTTATTTGAACAACTCGCACTTGCTCCTGACTCCCCTGCCTCTCTATCCGCAATGTCGAGCACCTTTACAGCATTCAGCAACATCGCTTGGAACTCATTCCCTACCTACTTCGCTTTTGGCAGTACTACCGGAACCGGCACGACCTTCTCCGGCCCTCGTTCCTTGTCCGACGATATGGAAGTAGATCCCGACTTCGTCATTGTCGATCTGGGGTTCCAACCCGATGAGCCCATGGAAATCGATGAACTTGCCCTTGAGCCCATGGAGGTCGACCACAATCTCGACACAACGCCTGATTCCGTTCGAGCAGAGCGGGTATACAAGGGCTTGCAGCAGTCCCATCGTGAAGCACGCGAGACATGCCTTGCAGGTAAGGCTGACAGATCTGGCCAGGCCTGCCTTGGTGCTCATGGATGCCCCAGCACAGTCTCTCGTCGGTTGTCCATTCGGGCAAGCCACCGTGGACCGTGACTGGGCGTCGCCGCCCGCTAGACCTACTTCCTTCCAGATTCCACCCGCCGGGAATCCATCTGAGTTTTCCAACGATATGCCGCGCTATTATGCGGCTGGTGGACACATTCCGGCCTCGCGACTCATTCCACCTCCGCCTGCCAAGAAGGCTGTTCGCGGCGGCTTGCCCCGGTACAAGACCCCTCCTGAAATCTCTGCACTACGCGCTAGACATTGTCGTGCAAGCCCGAGTGTGTTTTCCACTCATGTACGGGCTCTCTTCAATCCGAGTGCCCTGATTTCTTACTCCGGGCAGAGTTCTGGTGCTAGGACCTCTGAAAGCGAGTCGGACACCGCCGTCTCCCAATCATACGAGTCAGCTCCACCCCAAGGACTCCTGCGGCCTCCTCAGCTGCGCCTCTCTCAAAATTTGGATCATTCACTCAAACTCGGCACTCGTCCTCTGGCGAGCTCCCTGGCTCGCTTGTATACACGAGATGTGCCGCGACCACAGTGGCTGACGTGGCTTCGAATTTGATCTGCCTGACTTTCTCTCTTCGTGATTTTGTATTGAAGTATCCACAAATTTGTAATTTCGTCGCTGTCGCCAGTGCCCTTGTAACTTTGCCACAATTCGATCGATTGGCTGATTCGGATTTGGCGGCATCTACAAAGTGATTTGATTATAAACGACTGTACGTCTACAATTCTACCCAGCCAACTGTACAAGTACAAATGAGATCAAAATACAACAGCTATCGTCCCGTCTCGCAGTGAAGCTTGTCGGGCCAGCGACCGTCAAACCAGCGTCTTAGGAGAGTATCAGTGTCACCGAGAACCTTCTGGTTGCTACTGAGGTCATCGTTCAAACAAAAGAGCGCAGTTTTCCTCTCTCGATCGACGCGTTCCAGGATGCGTTGTGCGCCAAGAACACCCTTCATGCTCATGAAGACCGTTGGGGAGTCACCGATGACGTAAGCATATCGCTGTATGATACGTGTGGCAAAAGCTCTGGGATTGGAGGGTAGCCGCGGCATCTGATTTGGCAGTTCGAGAGGTAGTGTGACAGGGTCCTCCGGAGATTCCTTGGCTTCTGTATGATCAGGGAGGAATGCGCTCAGCCCTGACGTGGATTTGCGTGTCAAGGAAGTGATGACTGATCCTCGTAAGTACGAGCCACGAGACTAGTAGTAGATCACAAAACACACCGTAGTCTCCGCACTGACCCATCAGTAATCTAATGAAGACGTCCCAGGCGTCTTCCGGTTCTGTCCCTAGACAGGCACTCCTTCGATGTGTCGTCTTCTTCGGAAAATTCTTGTAATCGGAGGTGTACCCATCCATGGAAACTGGGACAGGTTCAGCCCGATTGTCGTCGAAAGGAGGTCCCGGAACTCACCCCAGCTGTACAAAGTATGCATCTGTTTGTCAGGTTCGATGGCTTCAGGGGGCTGAATCCCGGCTATGAGCATATTCAAGTCGACATGGTCTTTGGTCGCGCGTTCGGGAGCCTGGACGACCAGATCATCCATCTCCTGCTGACCGCCGAGATCAGCCCACATCTCGGCTTTGACACGCTTATCGAAGACGCCGTTCGTTCTAGAACCCCATTTCCCAATCACCCAGGACCAGAGCAGGGCTTCTCTATGGCGCTCGATCACGAAGTGCGACGCGAGGAAGATCGTGTTGATCTCGTATTCGCCGGAGACGTCGTGAGAGCCGCGAAAGTGGGAAAGAGGCGTGTTGGCAAACTCTGAACCGAAGGTGAGGGCTGCTTCATGCATCAGAGGCAAGGAAAGAGCTCGAGCGTTGTGCTGGACATAGGGCCGTCTCCGTGTCCCGAACCGTTTGTCTTGGGTGCCGGGTCAGTCGTTGAAATGCCGAGAGCAGGAGAAAGATGTACCAAGGACCTGTGCGCTCCAGCGAAGGGAGCGCCATTCGCCGTTGCCGTCCGCCATCCCCCGATCGTTTCCATCGACCATCAAGTTGTCTTGGATCCGGAAGACGGGCCCGTAAAGAGTGCTATGGAAAGCGGACGGCGGCGCAGGAAGCATCAGAAACTGATCATCATTGAGCGCAATACTGCGGACCAGTCAAAAAAACAAACACTGAAAAGCCCGAGGACACGCACATATTCTCAGACACCACATCGGGATTGAGATGTGCAAGTTGTGATTCAACGGCCATGCTGTAACGACATCAGTGCGTTCCCGGCATGCGTGCATCAACACAGACCTATTGAAGGATGGCAAAACATTGCTCAGCCATAGGGCGGCATCTTCAGATTGTAGCCGAGTGCCGGGATCAGCGGTGTAACGAAAGAGTTGGGTGTCTATGCCATGCACTGAATGACTGGTAACCACAGCAAGTCGGGTTATCTACCATGATGCAAGCGGATCGGTGATTGACCCTGCTGGACGGTGATCTCCTGGTCGATCTGGGGCGAAAAAGTGTACGATGCGCATGTGGGATCCAGCCACTGAGGCACGAGGCCCAAGCGGTAAGTGTCATTATTCGGCGCAGGAACATCAGCAGTGACGATGTGCGTAGTGACATCGGGCCATGTTGCGGTAGCTCGCTGCGCTGCACGGATCGAGTACCGCAGCTCTCCGTGCTCTCGAAATCGAGCTTCAGAGGTGCGATATCCGTTGGTGTCGTGCAATGTCGTGTTTCGAGAGGCGAAGTGTAAAGGATCTCTGCCCGTCAAGATGATCATTGCGACATCAAGTTAAAGTTGGACGGAGACGCACGACCCATTCACCCAGATGTAGACCAGATCAATCTTGGAGTCCTGTACCATGCTGTGTCTGCACGGCTCCTGCCACTGGCCCGTCGACACCCATCGATCCAAACACTCCCGGGAAAGCGCACTATGTGCTTTGATCGGCCGCACCGTCTGGTTTGCGAGCGAGGTTTCGATTGTCGGGACACGGAACGGATGATACACGGCAGATCTGTACCGAACTGGCCTGAGCTCACCGGGCTGGGATTCGTTCGGCTCAAATACCAAGTCCGCATCCTGCGACAGGAACACCAAGTTCCACGAGCGGCCACTGAGAACGATGCAGACGTAGGTAAACGAGAGTATGACGATGAGTATTATCGTTTTGTAGCGGGTCGGGTTGAGAAAATCGCGCAGAGACGGTGAGGGAACGGATGGACGATATGGGAGCATGGCCTCAGTCGAGGGCAACGGGATCTAGGCGGCCTACAAGGTAACTATGCGGCGGAAAACGTGTCGGGCACCTGAGCTAGGCGTGCACCCGACTAACCACCTCGGCAGAGAGCTTATCCGTGTATTGCGGTGGGTCGCGCCTATCCAGCAAACGCAGAGGGCGGAGCAGAAACGAGCGGCTGTCCGACGGTGGAAGGGTAAGAACAACGAGAGCCGTCCCTAGCCGTCCCATCTGTCACTGGATAAGAAGCAGATTTATGATAGTCCTGCGTAGAAATAGACGCAAGTTAAAAATAGAATCTGGTTTATTTCTGCACAACATACTTCAAACTACCAGCCCTCGGATCATTGGCTGGCGATTCGAGTGCTTACATCCGAGTTAACGTACCTGAGTTTCGTTAAACCTCTTTCGAGAGCCGCAGCATTCGCGAACGCACCTTGCGACCTCGACGAACGGGAGACGGCGGCTGTTCGTCACGGTCAGGATCGGCACAAAATCCATGATCAGATCTACGTCAGCTTCTTCAGTTCGATACTGGCGAAGAGGTCGTCTTTTCATTCAGGTTGCCCACGGACTTGAAGATAGCTCGGGTCTGGAACTCAAAGCGGCCTTCCCTCGAACTTGTCATCAATGCAGCGTTGAATGATCACGACTTGTCCCGCTCTTCCGGCCCTGATTTCGGTCGCCCGAGTCTGACATGTATAGCGCGCCTTCGCTATTGACAGTACTTATTGGTGGGACGTGAGCACATCGCTCGGTCGTCATCGCCGTATGACATCAAGAGGTATTGGTGTTGCACAAGGAGCACACAGGCGGTGATTAGATCGTGATCGTCGCAACGTCACAACAGGAGCGGGGAACCGAATTTGTGGGCAGCTTCACCGGTCACATGCCGCGGACACGCTTATCTTGGCATATCACCTGACTCGAACAGATCCCTCAACCTCCTTAGTCTCGTCTCGAGAAATGAGACTGCTGAACCCGCATACAATCTGCCTAGGGGCCAGATTTCGGTCTCAAAACCTCCATCGAGTGCATTTCAATCACAGAAAACACTGCAGTGGTCATGATCTCTACTTCTCTGACAAACCCGCGCCGTGACCTGCCTGCAACCCGCACGGGAGGCTTTCTAAGAGCACTGAATGTCGATCTTGAATGACTTGATTTCCTCGAATCTGGACTGGACTGGCCTCGGATGCTATCAGTTTCATACACTGCACAGCGGTGTTGTCGGGGACACACCATCAATCGCGAGAGTCTCTGGACCTGTCTAGAACGCGCCCTGGGTACAAATGGATCGGCCGAGAAAACAGGCAGTGGGTTAGACTTCCAGCGCCGCTTCACGCTTTCGTTCTTCTTTCATCTCCCCTCCCGTCCCCCGGACGTCCCGCTCTTGACGAAGCGAACCTCCGACCCCATCCTCTCTTTTAACGGTCTGACTGGCCTCAGATCTAACTTGAAGACGTTCTTTATCTCGACGACTTGATACGCACGCAGCAATGGGAGAGAGTTGGTTTCGGCGGGAGTTCATGAATGGACGCCGGCTGACTTTTAACATTCTGTTCTATGGAATCCACATCTTCTGGTTTGCCTATGGATGGCACAGTCAGGTAATCTCTAACCTTCGTCGATGTGATGCTGTGACACTCATCTATGCTCCGTCGTAGAAAACCAACCAGAAGCTTGCCGTGCTCAACTTGCTCACTTACTCGGTGTGGGTGTCCCGTGGCGCCGGCTTGGTGCTGGCGCTCGACTGCGGCCTGATCTTGATTCCGCTGCTCCGCAATATTATCCGATTTGTGCGCCCCAAGATGTCGTGGCTCTTTCCTGCGGACGAGAACTTGTGGTTCCATCGACAAGTCGCGTACTCGATGGCGTTCTGGAGCGCCGTGCACACCTCTGGCCACTATGTCAACTTTATCAATGTCGAGCGCACCCGTAAGCTGCTCTCTTGGCTAGTCAGTCCCTTCTGACACCTGGATCAGAGGTCCGCAAGGAGAGAGCGCTCGATATCCACTACACGCAAGCGGGTGCCCTCACTGGCCACTTTATGCTGCTCATGATGCTGCTGATGTACACGACGGCGCAACAGAAGGTCCGAAACCAGTGTTTCGAGGCGTTCTGGTACACCCACCATCTGGCCTTCTTCTTCATGATCGGCGTGTACACCCACGCCACGGGCTGTTTCGTGCGCGACACCGTCAACCCAGCCTACACAGATACGTTCCCGTTCTATGACCCGAAGCACTGCCTCGGGTACCTCAGCTGGCGCTACATCATCTGGCCCGGCATCATCTATTTCGGCGAACGTGTCTGGAGAGAAATCCGTGCCCGCCGTGCTACGAGACTGTCTCGTGTCCTAGTTCACCCCAGCGGCGCAATGGAACTGCGGATCGACAAACCCAGCTTCAAATATCAACCTGGGCAATGGTTATTCCTACAAGTTCCGGAATTGTCGATCTGGCAATGGCATCCCGTGGGTTACCTCCGTCTTCTGTTGACATGACCACCGATTCACCCCCGCCCAGTTCACAATCACCTCGGCACCTGAAGACCCTTACGTCTCGGTGCATGTGCGTCAAGTCGGCGACTGGACCCATGCCCTCGGCGAACGCCTTGGTGTCGGCCCATCAGTGGTCGCGTCCATGACCAAGTCTGCGATGAAAGGGTCCGAGACGGACGAGAAGGCTACTGGTCTGCGGGGTGACTTTGTCGAGCTTGATGCCAGCACTACTGGCTCGATGCCCGTCGTCCGCATCGATGGCCCATACGGCGCTCCCACCGAAGATGTCTTCGACGTCGAGGTCGCAGTCCTGATTGGTGCCGGTATCGGTGTCACGCCCTTTGCCTCGATCCTGAAACACATCTGGTACCGCCAGCGCAAGGGCAACTTGGGCACGCTGCGGCGCGTTGAGTTCTTCTGGATTGTCCGCGATGCGCCGTCCTTTGGTTGGTTCCAGAGCCTGCTTTCCGAGGTCGAGGCAGCGCAAGCTGATCGTGCGTATCTGTGATTTGCCCCCGAGTTGATGCACTGAACGCGCTCCAGCCAACTTCCTTCGCATCAATATCTACCTCACGCAGAAGATCAGCGAGGACATGCTGTGGAACATCGCTGTCAACGATGCAGGTTCAGCCTATGATCCTCTGACCTTGCTGCGCACCAGGACATCCGTGTGTCTTCTGCTTTGCCTCGTCGCATGCACTGCTAATTCTTGTCGCAGTTCGGTCGTCCCGACTGGTCCACCATCCTCGGATCGATGAGCCAGGCCATCCAGGACGGCCACTATCTTCCTGGATCTAGCGAGCAGCTCAAGACCAAAGTCGGGACCTTCTTCTGTGGACCCACTCCCCTTGCCAAAGTCATCAAATCCGCCTGCGAGCACACCAGCAACGCCCGTGTCGAGTTCACGTTCGCGAAGGAACACTTCTGAAGAGGGGATCTTTTCTGTAACACAAGTTTCATTTATCCTGCGTACAATATCTGTAACTATTTGTTTTTCTTTCTCTGAATTCAAGGTGGGACAATTGCACGCAGGGATCATCAGGTCACCACCACCGTGATGTTCTTGGACTCCAGAAGCGACCATTGGCTCGCCTGCGCGACAGTCAGTCATCATGTGCACACACCATCCACAACTCGGATACTCACGCCGACGATGGACCAATGCTGCACGCTCAACAGCGCCGGTCCGTGAGCCAGATCTTTCGGCATCTTCACGGAGAAGTTTTGGTGTGGGGGCTTGTACCACGCAGCACCCGTGTGGAACTGCGGGTTGTACGAGCCGATGTAGAGCAAGTCCCCGATGCCGTACGGCGCGGTGTTGGATTTCAGGGCGATGGCGATGGCGACCTCCGTTGAGCCAGTGAGTGTGTCCTAGCAATATGAGTCGAAGTGCATATGACAGGGACCGAAACGGAGGTGCGCACCGGTCGGTCCACCTCAACGGTGAAGTTGCAGCCGGATTCGAGCTTGGATTTGGCAAGCGGGGCGCCGATCTCGATGCTCTGGGCAAGAGCGCCGGACACGGAGAGAAGGGCGAGGGAAAGGAAGGAGAAGAGCTTCATTGTGGGTCGGCTGCACGATTCACCGCCCGTTCATCTCATGCATTTTATACCCAACGGATCTGGAGTCCGTAAGGATGACGTCGAGCTGACACCGACGGCAAGCGCTGCGGCGATACCCAGTCGTTTCAGGCGGCCCCCTGCTTCGAAAGCTCAACCTTGACGTCAGGTTTAGACCGGATCCAGGTCAAGGGGCAGTTTGCACAGGACCAAAGGACAATGCTGGCGCGGCGTTCACGGAGCTCAGAAGAGTCTGGGCCCTGCATGTGCAGCAATTCAATGCTTCGGGCTTGGAGTATGTCAAGAGCAGAAGCACCTCGGCAGCTCCTGCCGCGCACGAATGATGTCGTAGCCTTTCGAACTTTGGCTCGTCGTTCATTCAAGCTTGCGTTCCTTGTGTCTCCAGTGCTGAATCATCAGTTCTGGGAGCCAGATTCCTGGGCCATGAACTTGGAGTCAGGACTCGGGACTGGGACCACGGCACGTATCCGATCGTAGTGTCAGATGAGTAGCGCGAGTGCGCAATTACACGTGATGCGCCATCAAAAATCATTGGTGACTGGCATGCTACACACACTAGCCAGAGTCTTTGGATGTTATCCACAAGGGAGTCATCGCCTGCGCCACAATATTCACATGGTCCTTCAACTGGGTCCTGAGCCCATCCTCAAACACAGTCAGCAGCTTTCCCGGCCATTTGTCTGGATGAAACGTCCGGTGGACCTTGATGACGAGCGATGTGTATTCGGAATGGGCTAACAGTCGCTTAGCCGACGCGAAGAAATCCTCCGCTGCTTTCCAAGAGACATCGTCGAAGCCCAACTGGCGTCGATTGCGCAGAACCGGCCAGGGAATGACCTCGAACGTCAGAGGCTGCGCTTCCGAGAACTTGATGGACTCGAATTCGGCGATTTGGAACTCCAGCCTCTGCAATGCGAGGCTGGGCGTCCAATTATTTGCTCCCCAGCGGATGCGGTCGCGATTCCGACATCGAAGGACCTCGTCTGAGGTCGCTGCTTCCCAGCGATGCCGTTTCTCCTCAGCCTCGCGTGCTTGGCGCGCTGCCTCCGCGCGTAGCCGCTCGCGCTCGCGTTCTTCCTCCTGCTCGCGGCGTTGCTTCTCGGCAGCGGCCTGCTGCCGCAGGCGCTCGCGACGGTCCGCCTCGGCGGCTCGGCTCGCAGCCTCCTGCGCGTCGATCTCCGCCATCTTGCGGCGCATCGCTTCGATCTCCCGTGCCCGGGCAATGGCTTCGGCCTTGGCAGCTTCTGCAGCCGCGCGCGCCTTCCCTTCGCGCGTTTTCTTCGCTGCTTCCCAGAGCGGCCGATCGCGCTCTATGTCCATTAGCTTCAGCCGCGACTCGGCCAAACTGAGCGCCCGCTGCGCATCGCGGAGTTCTTGCCCTAGTTTTTCGACTTCGGCTTCGTGCTGGGCGGCCAACTTTTTGGCTTGCTTATCCTTGTCTTCGAGTTGTGCGTCATATTGAGCGCGAAGGTTGACCAGATCGATTGCAGAAGGGCAAAAACAACCACCCGCAGCTGGCTGCTGTGGCTGGGTATCAGGCACGCCGGCCACTGGATGTGAGGGCTTGACCGTGCGATACGTCGCGGAGATTTCTTTTCCTGCGACGCTCTTTCCATGCACCTGGCGTAGAGCCGTGAGAGCTGTCCGAGCAATGAGGGACAACAATGATCTGGGCTTATGGGACTTGCCATTAGCGGGACTACCAAAGGTGACAAATGTACTGTCCCCCCACTCGGTCTCGACCTTTGTGATC